AAGTATCAAACTATTTTTTCTATCCATTTAGTGTTATTTGCTTTTATCTTTGAGTTCCGCAGTGAACATCAACTCTGCGATACCGGTAAGTTGAGCTGATGAGTCCCAAATGAGACGAAACGTGCGTCCTAGATTTCACTGCTGGTCACTACCCATCTTTGTTTATTTTTCCTATCGTTCTTAAAGCTTCTAAAAAGTCAATATTTTCGTTTATAACTAAAACCAAACTGTTGAAAGTGAACATATACACTTATATTACTGCAGACAAATAAATAATCATAAAGGGAAATTTTTAAGGGTATTTATGAAGATTAAGATTGTCATTTTCTTATTAATTTTTGTGAAAAAGTTGATTTAACTAATTAAAATAACATAATCTGCTTTTTTTTGCTGAATCATTTTGTCTAGAACTTCCAGTCTAATTTATATCGGTATGAATATAAATGCAAAGCTCCCAGATCTTCTCTCATACTGTCCAGAATATGGAGTCAAAGAATCTGTATTTAACCCACAACCAACTTCATTACAAATAATGAGGATGCAATATGACACAAAACATTTAAGTTTTGTATTTACACTACTTACTAGTAGTAAAATTGTGTTTATAAAATTATTAACTTTTGGTAACAAACACAATGATATTCATTGTCAGCTTACAACATCTGAAACTATTGACAATGAGTAAGTACTGGATAGCTGCTTTATTTCAGTAAAAGACTCTTGAATAGTTCGCGGTCATCACCATGCAAAATGGCAAATCAACAAATTTCAAATATATCAGCGACCACTATACTTTTGGATAATTATTATCGAAATCCAATAATCGCCTCATAATGGCAGTTCATTAGAGATATCGGTATCCTAGTTTTCTACGACTTCGCACTAAAAAGTAGTGAAAAACTGATGAATTTATCCACGTACTCCCTTAATAAACAACTCATGGATGAGAAGTTCACATCTAGTACATTCCATTTTTAAACAATAAGACCTCTTTGATTGATATTATGCGTGGATCAATGTTGGACCACTACTGAAGTCCCATACTAGGACAAAACAGTCTTCCGGTGCTTCCAGGTTTTTCGTGGTGGTCTAAAATTGATCCATTAATTATGTCAACCTAAGCTCAACAATATCTACAACTATTTACTGAAAACAAATTCACCTAGATTTAATAATTTTCCATTTTTTAATCATTACAATAGATAGCCAAGACAATTACTGGAAAGTTACTCTAAATAATGTTCTCATGCAATTCAAGACCTTGTTTACATTTTCTCCAGAAATTAATTGACTTACTGACCTTAGGTTTTCGGAGGATATCAATATTTTAAACTGAAATTTACAACTTCATCACTGTAGTTTGTAGTGACTTACTTTTAGCAAGAGAACTGGATTGGTATAATGGAAACAATTATTATTATAACCAATCGTACCAGTGATTGTTTTACTGTCCTTGTTTGTTTAACCGTACTAAAAACATACATTCTTCCATTGATTGTGACCTTACACGAATCCGGTTACGCCCAGTAGCCACACTCGTAATCTAGCAAGATTTCGGTATTCTTTCGATACCACGAGATCGCCAACAAATACATCTCGACTACAGCCACCAACTGCCTTCTGATATTTAGTCTACGGGGGATCTTATCGGTTGACTAGCAAGTAGTCTTCCTGTAGTGATGATTATAGGCAATCGCGACTCGACGCCACACTACAAGTTATTTCAAATTAACATCCCTCTTTCAATTCACGTTTAGCTAGAAATCTGAAAATAGATCATGCTATCATATTTTTAAATGATTTCAGAAACAAACGAAAAGATCATAAAAATATTCAATATTAACCTTATTTATAAACCAACATAGTGATTTCGTTTGTTTGTTTGTTTGTTTTTTCAACCACAATAAAAGACATAACAGTAAAGAAAATAAAATGAAAATTCATCCATAAAATAAATGAATTGACTGTAAAATTCATTATATCCAATTATATACACATCACTTTCAGCAAAGTATATACGATAATAAAACACTATTCAAATTATCCATCTCAAAACAACAATGCATTATTGATTAATCTACAGAGAGGAATTATTACGTTTTAGAGGGTGTTATTTTGTGTTAAAAAGAATTTGTGTTATCTCACATTTCAATTCATGTATAAAGAGTTCCAAATAAAGTTTATCATCAGATAAGATATAATACTAATTCAGTAAACATTAAGTAAGTACTTCATTCGAACTTGATATTAATCAGAAATCCTTCTTACAGAATACAACTTTTATTCAACTGTGATGAGAATTATATACAAGATTAATAAACTCTCTTATAACCACTTTACTAAAAAAAAAAAGCAAAATTATAGAACATTGAAGATCACCTATAGATACCCTTAGTGTTGTGAAACTGATTTATTTTTGACTAGATGAATTAGTTTATCACATAACATAGTTTTAAACAAATGAAAACAGACATATACGTATATACATATACTACTTAATTAGATTGTAAGCTAACATATCCAATGATTTCTTCTAAAAATGAACAAGTTAACAATGACTTATTTATTGACAATTTATACAAAAATCAAATTGAATTGTGATAATGATGCATAGATGTCTGGGTCATTTGTTGCATAACCCCTGTAGCTGCTTACGTTTTTTTTCTGTTAAAAAAAATAAATAACTTTTCTATTTGATCATTGTTGACATATTGAAATGACCTTAGATAAACTCAAATAGACAGTTGTTACCACTTATTAAATAACAATTAGTTTTATTTGTTTATTACGTTGGAAGCGTTGATCAGATTGATTGTTTTAACGTTCAAGGTTTTGTATAATTTTTGTTGTTGTTGTTTTTTTTCAAAAGACAAACAGTAAGTAATTCATTGATAATAAACATTTTATTAAAGTATATTCGGTACGGAAATATTATATGTTTATTTATTTAGTTACTTACTTACTTACTTACTTACTTACTTACTTACTTACTTACTTACTTACGTCAGTTACTCCCAATGGAGCATAGGCCACCGACCAGCATTCTCCAACATACTCTGTCCTGGGTCTTCATTTCTAGTTCTATGGAATTGTTGTTCCTATTTTTTCGTGTCTATCTTTATTACTTCATGTGTTCTTTGGTCTTCCTCTTCTCTTTTGGCCTTGAGTATTTCGAGTAAGGTCTTGCGTTGTGACGCATTTGGGTGCTTTCATCAATGTGTGTCCTAACCACTTTCAGCACTTCTTCCTGATTTCTTCCTCCACTGGGATCTGATTTGTTCTATCCCACAGTAGGTTGTTGCTAATAGTGTCTGCCAACGGACCCGAAGTATTTTGCTTAGATAGTTGTTAATAAACAATTATATCTTCTGGATGATGGCTTTCGTAATTCTCCTAGTTTCCACCCCATATAGTATACATATATATTCGTAGCATTGATGTGTATATATGTATATCTGTATGTTAGCGTGGTGCGCGCTACTTATTTGATATATGTAGTATATCACGCGAGTTAAAAACGTAAAGTCTGGCAGCAGAAGATGGGGGAAGATCAAAAAAGGGAGAGCGGGAAGACAATGAAATTTGTATGAAAACGTATGAACAATGAAATGTCAGACAATCGATTGATGTTTGCAACAGGAACAGTCCAGTTTGATATGATGGATTGATATTTTGCAAATTAACGATTCACTATATGGTTGTTAGATTTTATTAACAAGTGCTGTAATTTGTTGTCAAATACATTCAATTGTTCCCATTAGTGTTCATGTTCACTACATTAGAACATGAAACAACTATGATGAACCTAGAGCACTGACAATATCTTATTCACTGTTGTTATTATTATGTTCATAATGTTAATTAGTAATTGTATATGGAAACAAAAATAAATTGATGAAGGTAACCAAATTATTATTATTATTATAAACAATATTTGTGACCTCTACTTTAATGAATAAGGAAAGTGAAAGAAATATTTAATTATGTTGTATAACATTTCTATAAATGAATATAACACTTCTATGGATATGATATGAAATGTACTAGAACCGTTTATAGAGTAATATAAAGATAATTTTAATTTAACTCTCAATTTATGTAAATATTTATGAATTAGTGAATAAGTAATAAGTTTAATTGATATTACCAATAAACTAATGAAATGGTTTCAAATATAGTAAACCTTAGGAATTGGCTGTAATCAGGTAACTATTAGAAACTAGAAATTATTAGCTTCTAGTTTGAAACTTATTGTTAGTGAAAATTCATGATTCTTTTAAGGATTGTGGTAAATATATGTACCAATGATTTACACTATTAACTTCATTAAGATTAACTATTTGGATTTACCCATTATGATATAACAACTCCGCTTGGAGACCCTCTGAGGCTACTGCCAGTCCAAAGCCCGGATAAAAGAGTAGGGTTGAGTAGGCGGGGTTAGAGACTCAATCCCATAGAAAACTAACTCTCCGAAAAAAAAAATACTAACCAGAAAAATAATTCAAACCATTATGATATAACGGATCTATAATCAGATTGATTTTCAGACTAGTTATTTGTTGTAAATCATTCCATTTAGATATCAAAACTAAAATGGTATTCTTTATTAATTATGTACCATTGTCTTTTATTAAAACTGTATTAATATCAAATGGTAGAACAATATTACCACGAGTTAAAAAGACAATTTAATTTCACATTGTTTTTAATCATAAACTAAGAAATTATGATTTATAACATTTAATTATTCAGTGATAATACGTTCATACTATGACCTGAATATTTTGGATTGAATTCCATGTAGAATAATCTGTACATATTGTTATAAAGTCTAAAATTACAATGAAAATAGTGTTTATTCCTTATGATGATGTTATATTGAAATGATAGACTTTGTATTGAATTAACTTGAATAATCTTTCAACTATTCTAATTGAATTCATTTGATATTATTTGAATTTTTATCTTTTAGAATAATTGTTAATGTCTATAAAGAAATGGGTATTATTACAGTATGTTTACACATATTAATTAGTACAATATTAATGGTAAGTTTTGTTTTATTAAACTAATTCAACTTGATATTTATGTATAATACAATTGTGATATTATTTTTATATTTATCACTAATAATTTTAATAATTGAAATAATGATTCAATTAAAACTAGACCATCATGAAAAACTTGGAAACACTGAATGGTTGTTTCACCTTATTGTGAGCCACCTCAGCAGTGCACATCCACGGTCTCGCCTCGTGAGATTCGAACTCAAGATCTATTGGTCTCGTACGAGAATGCTTAACCTCTAGACCACTGAGTCAGCATCTAACGGTGTTAATGTCCATGTTCAACTAATCCAGCTTTTTCATAGTGCTCTAGTTTCAATTGACTCATGATCTCAACTATTAAAATTATTATAGTATCCACAAAATTCCTCTCTAGTTATGACTATTACTTATACTGAAACTAATTATGTAAATATCCACCTAAACTTGAAACGTCTGGTGATGTAAAACATACAAACTGCTGAAAATCATTAAAATAAGAACTAATTTCTATATAAATACACATAGTACTGATATTTATTAGCTTGTAAATGGTCTACATCTAGAATTGTTTTAGTAAAAGAATGAATTACAGTTTAGGTATTTAGAAAAAAAAACAGAATAAAACAAAAATGTCATTCTTTTGAATTAGCCTTCCACCATGTTCCTGTATTGATACATATCGTATACAATAGTAACAAACTCATTACTCATCGACACAAACTCCAAGATCTCATGTAAATATATAGTAAGTGATTATCAAAGTAAATCAAATGTGTAGTTTAATATAATGTCCTAAACTAATAAATGATAAATAAACAGAAGTACATTAGTAAAATGTGTGAAATAGTTATATAATAAATAATCATGCATTGGGTAAAACAGATCAGAAGAAAACAGTTTCTGTAATCAAACTGTGGATTTTATTGTACGACTGCCCGATCCTTAGACCTGACAGTAGCCATATAGCATAAATCTCTAGCATAAATCCAGGTGGTTCTTTTGTAGCTAGTTTTATCAGTTGTATAATTTAAGGAATAGTAGTAGTAGTAGTAGTAGTAGATCTTGAAATCTCAGCTCCATACAGTCAAACTGTCTTGACGTTCGTATTGAAGATTTTGAATTTTATGTTGGCAGACGGTTATCCTGAGTTCCATATGTTCTTCAGTTTTATGAATGCTACCCTTGCTTTTTCAATGCTTGTCTTTACGTCTGTATCAGTTCCTCCTTGTTGATCGATGATGCTGAACAAGTTTCACCTCTTCCAGTGTTTCTCTATCAAGTGTGATTGGGCTGGTGTTCTCCGTGTTGTTTTTCAGTATCTCTTTTTATTTTGTGTATGCTGAGGCCTACTGCTGTAGAGGCTATTGTCACACTGGTTGACTTTATCTGCATTTGTAGGTGTGTATAGAATAGAAGAACCAAGTCAACTGTGACGTCCAAAATGTCTAGTTGTATGCAAGCTGTGCACTGTATTTCTTGCTTTCCCTGAGGTTTGGAGGACAGTCGAACATAGTGAATTATATATTTGCTATTGTCATCACTAGACAAGAATTATTTTTGAGTTAGACATTTGATCAGGTCGTTTATTATTTACAACTCCATTGAAGTGCGCTCATTTTACATCAGTGGTAGTATATACTGTATACTATAACTTATGTTCTCAACCTTGAGCGAAATAGTCAAAGAGCTTTCAAAGGTTTTTTAAAACCAATTAGTTTATCCAAGATGCTTCTCTGATACACGTTCGCTTAATTGAATTTCAGGTATCAGATATTTCAGGTACCTAAAGATCAGTTCATTAGATCAGATCTGAAATACTTTACTCGTATATATCGCTTTGTGATACTACCAAACTGCATGAACCGTATTATAGTAGATGAGTTGGAACCTGTAGTCAAATGGTTTAAACTTGTGTTATATAATAAGTCACCTGAAAAAACACATTGTGAATACTAATTCAAATGATATTACATTTCAGTGTATTTCGTTCTTATAATAGTATATTTAGGTTCATTTACTATAAAGCTTTTAAACCATCGTTTCATTTCTATGGCACTAGTTATTAATTCAGTTGTTGTAGAATTTTGATAAAACTGACGGCCTATCATAACGGTGTCATTGTTAAGCCGTATACAAACTCTGATTAACTCTAGTTAAGCATAATTGACTATATTATTCGATTATCATATTTTACCCCTCTCACAAAAAATGTTTCTCAATAAGTTTACTTTAAACAAAGACTAATGATCAATAACATCTATACAAGTCTGGATATGTACAGACAAAGAGTCTAGTATCAGGACGAAACAGATGTCCATGATTCCTGGAATCCAGTGATATCTGAATTGACATAAATCTATAACGAATGAAAACTGTAAATATGGTTTAGTTTTAAAAAATAGTTTAGACGGAAGAGTGAAACAGTATCAACTAAGAAACTATGGAAAATGTGTAGATTTTCAGTACTGTAATTGATTTCGATCCATGTCACTTAATCTATCTAACCGACGGAAAAATATCATCTTATAGCTATCAATGAAGAGTTCTGTGTTTTTTTTTAAAATAGACCAATTCAATAAACAATCTTCAAGTAAACAGATGATATGAGTTGGTTAGGTAATTTTGTAACTGTTAGTAAGTATAGATTTTCAGGTTTGTTTGTGAAGTGATATTAGAAGGAAATACTTCCCTGTCTTCTTAAAGTGAGTTTGACTTATTTATTTACTTGGCACACAGTCTTTCAGCACATGAAGAACAAGACTTGACAACGAATCATGTTAAACCTATGATAGATACAATACATATATCCACTCCATATGTTTTTTTTCGCTGAATGAAGTCGTCATGTGAGTTGCCACGATCGTGTTGATATTTAATAGAAAAAGGAAAAAAACCTTTTTTAGAAGGATAATTAGCGCTGAATAATGAATGATATGAACGTTTTACTTATTTACTGATTAATTGATTAACTATGGCACACTTCTTTTGTACATAAAACACATGATGAGACATACGACACGACCGCTATTATTAGTCAGATTTTAAAATTATTTTATGGTTTAGTCAAATTCACTAATGATGAATAAATAACTCATTTTATGCTCAACTAGTTTAAGATAACACTGAAGATGATAGGAAAATAAATGATATAAACATGTTGCTAAGTACCATTTTGAAATTGATGGATTATGGCTTGAAAAAGAATTTGTGTCAAAGACTCCGTCCATTTGGGGATATCCAGCTGACTAATAACAGAAGCGATATAACTTTGATTTCGGATTACACTGTCAGTCACAATCTAATAATACTAAGATATGTAATAAAAAGTTACATCAACCAAAAAATATTGATCACAATGTACTTCTAAATATCGACAATGCGAAAATATATATCCTCCCTGATAATATTGATAATACGATCTCACTAGAGGTTAAGCATTCGCGCGCGAGATCGATAGGTTCTGAGTTCGAATCCCGTAAGAGGGGTAGCGGAGTGGTATTGCTACTGAGTAGTACCATACTAGAACGAAACGGCCACCCAAGGCTTACAGGTTTTCCATGGTGGTCTAGTTTTAATTGACTCACGAATAAATCAACTATTGAATTACTAAAAATCTCCACAAAATTGTCTTCTGAACATAAAATACTTCATATAATTTCAATATCATGAAAGCACCTCAAAACTGTTTATCATTGTATCTTTACATTAACTATTCACATAGTTTATGGAAGTTTTGTTCTTTCGTAAAATATTACAAATCCATCTGATGAATCATTTAATGGAAAGTGCAAAACAAAATGAATGTTTATCTTTTTTTTTTATGTTACATTATTTTATTACACTAACTAATTGAAGCTTTTATATATTTTTTTTATTGTTTTCAGTGCATTTTATCTATTGTCGTAGCATTTATTGGTATACTGAAATGGTGTGATGTTATTTTTCAATTTATTATGAAATCATTACTTTTACCAATCTTAAAACAAGTAAATAATAATGCTGATGAAACAACTATTCAAAGGCTGATAGAACATATACGTTCAGCAACAGGTATATGTTAAATGAGAAAAAAAGAATTTAATATAAGTTCTTTCGATGAGACTATAATTTATGGACAACGTTTAAGCGACGTTAAAGTGATTTTGAGAGTGTCCACTAGGATCAAATGTAGATTACAAACCAGTGTGAGGAATTGGAATTATGATATACTGTTGATGGTTAGGATTATGAATTACATTTATGGTTTTCATCACGAATTGATATGATCTATAATGCCAAAACTCTATTTAGCCAAATGTATGAGTAGATTTTGCACCAAATTCCGAAACCTGTTATTTTATACCTGAATAGTTTGTCCATAAATTATAGTTTCGCCGTTCTTTCTTTTCTATTTACAAATAAAATCAATAATCAACTGAATATTTACTTTTGTAAATACCACAGTTAAAAATTAAAGAAATATCTATTATGAATGAACAGATCAATAATAAGCAGGCTATCGACATTTATCTATAAAGTACCGTTATCTGCGATTACATTCGAAGATGAAAAAAAGCCTTGACAAAGTGTTACTTTAAGAAATGTTATGTTTATACAATTTTAGTAATTACAATAAGAAACGGTTAACTCCTGTATCTGGATATTACGGTGAACATATTTTAAAATTCTGGCGTAACATTCTGAAGTTTTATTAAATAGGACGAATGATTTTTTTCTTTAGTGGATTGATAACTGTCATCTAAAAAAATCTTACTTACTTACTTACTGACTCACGCCTGTTACCCCTCGTCAAAGAGCATAGACCGCCCACCAGCACTGTCCATTCAACCCTATCCTGGGCAATCCCTACCAGTTTTTTTCCTGTTTCTATTCATCCTTTTCATGTCTGCTTCTAATTCTCGACGTATTGTGTTCTTCTGTCTTCCATTTTTCCATTTCTCTTCAGGATTGCAGGTTACTGCTTGCCTCGTGATACGGTTTGATTTCCGTATTACATGTTTTATCCACTTCCAACTTTTTTTCCTGATTTCCTCCTCAGCTAGAGGCTGTTTTTTCCTCTCCCACAGAAGGCTGTTGTACATGGTATCCGGCTGACATTTAAACAATATAACTAACCATAACACAATTTATTAGTTCGAAACCCCTCATTAACGTAAATAACTCAAAACAATTAGATAGAAAAAAAATTTAGAGTGAACGTAGATTTTTTCAAAGGAGAAATTTACGTTTTAACATAAATGACTAATTAGATTTAAATCAGATCTTAATTGAATAGAACACAGTATAGTTTTTAATCAGTTTATTAATACGGCAAACAACATCTAAACACTTATTAATGGGCTTGAAGCTATTTGTTAGCCATTATTTAAATGATTTCTGATCTAATAATAAGAACTTAGTTCAAACTAAGAGTTTTAATTCGAAGAAGGGATTTAAGTATTTTTCAGTATGTGATCTGCATACTCGTGTAAGTTACGGAAGGAAGCAACCAATTATTGTTAGCTTGTTTTTTTATTTGTTCTTTCTTGTTTTCAGATCATCTAACATTGGCAGTTTTTATTGTTACCTTAATACTTTTGGTAATTTTATGTTTTGGTATGGTTGGAATTTGTTTTCGTAGCAAGGTCATTATTTTCATTGTAAGTGAAATACCTTTTTATGACTACTATATATTATTATGAGCATTCTGGATAGTGTATTTTTAGCAAGATTATTTTCCACTGGATGTGGATGCTGACCACATGCTCAACTCTCCTCCTTTACCCGAGCTTGGGGCCGTCGTTAGCCCTAGAAGAGCTACAGGTGGAGTTACGATGATTGTCCACTAAAACATATTTTTTGAAAAGATTTTGGATTTTTGCATTATTAATATTTAGGAGTTAATTGTGACCAATCTTTGTTAGCTTACATGCATCTTCAGAAGTGTGCCTTGATTTAGCTTTTAAGTATAGGTATGGCTGGTAGTAGACACTGAACTATAGAGAGAGAAACTGATATTTGAAGCTCGTCATTTCGATAAAGTTGAAAATCAATATCACGATACATTACGATTCTCAAGCAGGACTAAACTCTTACTACAAGCCAAAATATTAAAATTCTAAAACTTAATATTAATAATAAGCGAAATTTAATGTTTACTTTACAAACTAAAATGAAACTCATATTCGAATAAAAATTTTCAACTCTGACTATATTAGCTATATAATGCATCTATGCGTAAGCCATACTGTGTATCAAATTGATTTCAATCTACTGAATTTAAAATTATGGTCCATTTGGTGTCGATTTGGTGGTTCAAGTGTCATGAACTCACCAGTTAGTTCTTCAGCTATCAATTTTAGTCCCTGGCATCCGCAAAAACCCTTCTGATATTAATCAACATATGCTCACTAGTGACTGGCTTCAAGAGATATTTCTTGAAGTTCTAGTGAGAACCAGTGAGCAGTGGAGTTCAACCGGGTCTGTTGAGATAGTAAATCACTGATGACAATGGTGAATGTGTCGATCAATTTCGTGTATTAGTTGAAGTTAGATATTAACACAGTTGGATGCTGGCTGGCTCAGTAATCTAGAGTTTAGGCATTCGCGCGCGAGATCGATAGGTCCCGATTTCGAATCTCACGAGGCGAGATCATGGATGCGCACTGCTGTGGAGTCTCACACTGGGACAAAACGGTCATACAGTGCTTCTAGGTTTTTAATGGTGGTCTAGCTTCAATTGACTCATGATCTCAAGCATTAAAATTACTCTAATATCCACAAAACCCCTTCTGATAGTAAACATTTTGTTAAACTATCTAACACATCTTGTGTAAACTGAAATGTTTAAAATCTCTTCTGAAGAATATGCATATATTTGTCTCTTATAGAGGACATTCATAGTATGAAGCAAAGGGCTCTTAAGTTATTCAATAAACATTTTCAAAACATTATTAAATAAGTCAGATATTCACAATAATCACAGTATTTAAATCGCTTGTTAAATGAACCACGTTATAATACATAATTAGAATTTCTTAAGTAAATGTCCAACACGAAGTAACAGATGAATGAACAACTAAATGACATAAAAAACTTACTCTCATTGAAACAATCGCTTTTGTTATTGGAAGAATTTCACTTCAATAAGAGATAGTCTACTAATGTAAAAGTTGTTGGCTAGTTAGTCAATTGCGTAACTGTTGACCCTTAGATGTTTATGTTTTACAATTTGTTTTGATTATGGTCGAACAGTTGAAGTTTACAAATTGATTCTGAACTTCCATACAGTTAAACAATATATTCATAGACTTGAATAACTATCAATAGAGTTAAGAGATATTTCATACATAGCAAACATGTTTGAAGTGAATTTTTTCTGAATTGGTTAAATAAGAGTAAACCTAAAGACTAGTTTATTTTGTGAACTCTATGTTTAAGAAAAAAATCATTGTAATTTATCTCCTGTATTGAATATATTTGCTTAATTTTTCAAGTATATTCTTCTATTGGCACTTTCTATTGTATTACTGTCTGTTTGGCTGATAACAGAATCTGCTGACCCAGAAATAGTGAGTCTAATGTTTGAATTTATGAGTAATTTACTAATTATTTGTTGTAATCGAGTCGCAAGATGTAAAACAAAAGGCTTACAAAATTTATAATGTCATCCGGCCTACTTAATTAATTTAAAAGTAGTCTAATTTCATTCATCAAAAAAGTAGGTGGTATAAAACATTTCCCCGTTTATTAAACTGATAAAAAGAACCAGTCTTGAACCTTTTTATAGATTTATTAAATTACGATAGCAATGCTCATAGTCAATGGAAAAAAAATACTCCAATTTTCGCTTTCACAAATTTCTGCTTTGTTAATAAATATACCGGAGAATTTAGAGTACATGGTCAACTTTAATCCAGACAACTACATTATTCGCAAAGATGAATAATGGCTAGCAGTGGAATATAGGACGCACATTCCGCCTGTTTGAGACTTATCACCTGGATGTACCTGTATCTCGGAGTTGATGTTCACTCTTCTACTCGAACCCAGTATCATCCCCTTCAAACGCCATCGCGTTATCCAGCATTGTACTATGTAAACGTTCATCATTTATCAACTATAAAATTGTACATCATTTATGCTTAACTAAAAACAATAAAAATTCATCAGATAATAAATATTTTATCACCAAAAAGACAATCCATTAGTGAACTCATATCTGTTTGATCACAGCATGATATTGTTGTAATTGGTTTACTGAATTTGAATAATTTATCACAAACACAATTTTATTTGTAAGTTAATTATAGAATAAAATTTTTAAAAAATTAATTCAGTGATATAATTGTTTTAATCATGCTGTTAATAACTCTAAACAAAAGTGCTAACATAACCATAACCATAACAATAAAAATTGCTTGGTTATTTACAAGGTTAAATGGTGTTTCTTCTGATTAACGATGCTTTTTATAAAGTTCAATTCATTCGTAAACTGAACTATATGTTATTAGTATTATTTTTAAAAAGTTGACCCAACATTCAAATGAGTATCTATGACGAATTCATTCTAAAAAAAATGGAGAACAAAATGATTGTGAACATAAGAAAGCTGAATAACTATGAGATTGGTTATTTGAAACTATTTACCTCAAATAAAAAAAAAGAATGATTTAGATAAATGTGGTGTGTACTACTTATATAGACGTTAGTAGTATATAACGCCAGTCAAGAGTAGAATGTCTGGCAGCAGAAATTCAAGAAGATCGAGAAGGAAAGAACGGGAACAGATAATAATTGATACAGGAATTCAGGAACAATGAAGTCTGAGACGATTGACTGACATTTTGCAAATTAAGTATTTACTGTATAGTTCTCAGATTGTACAAAGATGTTCTGTAATCTTGTGTTCAACTACATTCAATTATCCACACTTGTGTTCTCATTTACTATAAGAAGATAATGTGCTATATTAATTCAATACATTCAGAACAATCTGATTATGTATTTACTAGTTAAGGTATTTATAGTTGAGGAATTAAAAGAAATCAAAGAAGAAAATTTTGAAAATAGGAGAAAACAAACATAAAGGGGGTGGGGAAACAGTTTGAATCACACCATACTAAAAAATAAATCAACATTACTGAAATAGTATCAAAGTGAGAATAAACTTCTTTTGAACAAATTAAACAGCTTCGAATTTGTAAATGCTTAGGACTTTAATGAGCTTTATTATACTCTCTGCTGAATTTCTATTCAACTCTAAAAAGACTGATTCAATTTCAATCCTACAATCAGTTTCAACCAAATCTTGCAAAATGTAGAGAAATTTTCATATATCCTGTGCTCATAATTGACTATTTGAATTCATTTTTTCGTGGATTAAACAAAAAAGTTTTAAATAAATAAAGAAAACCATAGAGTCATTGAGGAAACAAAGCGATAAGATTACAATCTAGACATGTTACCTTTGAATATAGAGATTAGCCAAGAATCAGTGAATTGTTAAAACCGCTGTCATATATAAGTTCTTGGATTGTAATCTTTTTGAAAGACTTTGTTTGACGTTATACATAACTTTGGAGTAGAAAACAGGTAAGGCGACGGAGCCAGAATTTATAAAGTGACTAACAGATACGTTTTAAGAGAGCTCTATTTGTTTGGCAGACATAACCAGTTCCATAAGAGCAAGTAAAATTATGGATAAGTCTATCATCTAAAAGAAAATCCTTGATATAATTTTTTGTTAAAATCTAACTGGTGAACAGTTTACAGCCAATTTAGACAAACAGTTTACAAAAAAATATTTTTCCATATGCTAGAAATTAATTAAGAACTTTTTTCCACAAATTCTGTCAGTCTTCATCAAAATACGATTCAATACTGAAAAGATAATGTAGAAAACGAGAGCACCAGTAGGAAAAATCGACTGTATTTGAAAACAAAACTACAGAACATCTAAGTAAAATTTAAGAACTATACACTAAATATTTTATTTGCAAAATGTCAATCAATCGTCTCAGACTTGATTATCCATTCGTCTCCAAATCAAGCATTTTTTGTTCTCGTTCTCTTTCCTTCGATCTTCTTAACCATCTGCTGTCAGGCATTTCACCTTCAAATAATGATACATACTATTTATATCTGTCGACATCGGTGGCACACACCACACTCATCCCCCGTTTAAGCAATCGTTCTTGCGGTGGTTCTACCCGTCGCAACACTTCCTCCTTTTCTGCAGTCTGTGCTACACTCTCCGTCAAAATGTCGAAACTGCGGCGCATCGATCTTCATAGCTCCATCGACCTTCCGGACCATCAAAATCCGAAGTACACCCAGCACCTGGGACGCTAAAAGCCTGCACTCCGGAGACCTACTGAGCCACCTAAGTCTGATGTCCGCCCAGCAGCCGCATGTTCCACCACTCCTCACCGTCGACTGCACTCGCTACAGTCAACGCCACCCCACCAGAACGCTCCACTCGACGTGACCTCTCCATACCACACCCTCCCTAATAGCACCTCGTCTTCAGGCCTGCAACGGCATCTGAGGTTCTAGTAAGAGCCCATTACCAATGGACTTAAGCCATGTTAGATATTAGACAGACTTTAACAATGACGACTGTTCATGTTCATCGGTAAAATAAAAAATACCAACTGAGTAGTCTGAAGATACGACACTTATCATGATGCCTGAAGGCCATAGCTTTTGACGTCACTGTAGTCGTACATATGCACTACTGACGAATCTTATACTAGAGTGTAATAGTCATCAAGTGCTTCCTGCTTTTCACTAGTTCTTTAACCAAACCCAGTCTGTGATACTAAACTTCAAATTCAGAAATCTCTACAACACGTTTTACCGACAGTTTTACTAGTTTTATCTATAAGAAACAGATACCTGTGAAATCATTTTCAATCCATTTCATCATATTCTTGTTAGATAAACATTCCTATTAAAAACCAACTGAAGTTATTAATTGCTAATTATCATTCTGTGGGGTCTAATGAAACGGATAGTGTGATCTTAGCAACTTTAATGCCTTTGGTAAGTATATTTTATCACATTTTTTTGCAATATAGTGTTTACGTTTTGCATATACAAATAATATGAATAGCTGTAAAATGATATGGAACAGTGACTGAACAGTTAAACTATTCAAATTCAGTATTCAAATTCTGATTCACTTACTTCTGAGCTTATTCAGTGAAGTTTGTGCGACCTCTCTTATCGCTAACTGCTTTGACTGGGAATCGTAATTTTTATTGAAGTTTAAAATTTTCAGTAGTTATTCTGTTAGAAGTGAACAACATAAATTGGGCTGAGACGTCGCCTATTTGTGGATGATTCTCTTCAAGTATTGACATAAGACACTAATGCACCTACTTCAAGATAAGATTACGAGATTCTCGTGGAAAATCATGACCAGTGAAGTTCAGTAATGTAAGAATTGGGCTGACAGCATACATAAAATTGGAAGATTATCGTACCACATCACCAATTGAATGATGTTGAAAACGAAAATTTTGGATCTTTACTCAGGGATCTAAGAAATGAGAGTATGCTACGAGAACTAAAGGTTCTTTATTCCATCTTCGGAGCTAATATTAAACTGGGGACCATTTTAGTGTTTCATACTACGAAAATAATTTATCCAATGCTCTTGATTTTAATTCTGTCAAAATTTTTAATATTCTCTAATAAAATCAATCTACAACTGAAAATATTCTCATTCACATACACAGATGATTAAATGTCATTTTCGATTATAACATAACATTATATTTAGTTGGTAGTGATCAATAGAATTCAAAGTACACATGTTTAATCATTTGCACGTAACAATATATCCCTGTGTATCTTTGTTCTCAACAGAAATGGAATTCACTAACTATCACTTTAAATTTAAAATAGGAAACTGTATTTTAAAACGTTGACAACTTTTAACACAAAGGGGGGGATAACCGATGTATTTTAATACAAAATTACAGAATACCTTTGTAAAATATGAGAACCATATATTGAATACTTTCTTTTCGAATTTCCAACATTAATCCTTCACATTCTATATGATTCTTCCTATTCACAATTCCTTTCTATTTCTGTTTCTATTCTCTTCAAATTGATTTTCATAACCTTCTGCTGCTAGTGTTTCCACTTACGAACGATGTTACATACTACTTATGTCTCTCAACATAAGTAGAATGCATTACATGGTTAGTATTTAAATGTTAATTTCGTAGGCGTATGTCCTGAAATTCAAGTTAAACCATTTTAAAATGTATATTATTATACTTAACAATGTTAAACATAATTTAAGCAGTTTGATATCGATGTATCCTTCGTTATGCTTCGAATGATTTCTTCCCATTTTAATTAACTGTAGTCTATAACGGTTTCACATTATAAACACTTTCTGCTTATAAGTATATCCTTTATTAAAGGATTTGTAAACACTTCGTTATTGCTTGTTTCAATGATGTTTAGCAAGATAAAAAAAGTGTGAAATGTATGGTCACATTGATAGGAATCATTTGATCTGACAAAAATAAAAAAAATTACTTAAGATACAGGGTGCAAAATAAACATAGTTAATCAGGTTAATGCAGAATTATGGTAGGGGTAATGAATACCTCAATTACTCACCCAAAGGTTTTCTCCAAGATATACGTTATTATATAGTAGTTTTATAAAATGTGAAAATCATACAACAAACACGTCATTTGCACATCTTTAAGTAGACTCTTACAAGCTTCATTATTTCTTCATTCCTGTTGTCATTTTGATTGCTTTCAGTCTCCTTCTCTATTCTCTTCATTTAGATCTTCTCAACCTTCTATCACAGATATTCCATATCAAATTGGTATTTCATACTACTTATATCTGCAAACATAAGTAGCATAAATAACAGAATTATTATTGTTCTGCAAAAACAGATTTCTATACACTTTATCTTGTTCCATTCTCAGTTGATTTCCCAAACATAAGGTGTGTATTCCTGAGTAAAATTCCTGACCATATCCCACTTTCTTACCAATACTCATTTTGTAGTAGAAAATGTAGTTGTTTGTTAACCGCGAAAAAAATAGAGTGCACTATTGATTATTCGTTTATATAATATAACAAATATATTCGCACTCAATCATAATAAAATTCCTGTATCTTGACCATATTACACAAATGGATCTGTTTCATCGATAACTCTAGTAATATAGAGGCCTCTGTAGTGTCGGTTATTATGTTAAACCCATGTAACTTTTTCTAGCTTTCGGACAGGCCAATCTATTCATTCTACTTGACTCATATTTTGACCTTGTTAATTATTCGCTTATCAATCTTGATTGTTTTTATCAGTATAGGGGTTGTGGAGATTATTAAGTTTTTATTAGAGATCATGAACCGATTGATGTCAGATCCCTGGAGCAGGATCGTGGATGATCACTGCTGAGTCTCACAATAGAACGAAACGGCCGTCCAGTTCTTCCAGGTCTTCAATGGTCTAACATCAATCTGTTCTTGATTGTTTTTATATGAGCGTATGTGTGTACACTTCTTATCCTATTCATCATATGTCTGTAGCCTATTTTTCTGTGATTATAAATACTGATTAACGTTTGGTTAAATGAGAGTTAGCTTACCCGCCTTCTCCACTGCGCATCGTTTCGCTTCGCTCTATTCCATTCGCTTCATATACAAAATATATGTATTCAAACTTCCATTCTAGTTATTTGACTTATTTAGTTCCATTATTGGCTAACGCGATTTAAGTCGATGATTATATACGAGGATAGGCGACATATACATTTCAATAACAATCCTTCATACAATTTACTTGGAGTCAGATCCTGGGCCACTATAGTGGAGAGACCGTCAACAGATTTCGTTCGATCCAAATGACGATAAAATAAAGAGCTCCACTAAATGTCCTTCCCAATAATCTATTAGACATAATGAGTATGAAAAATGCTTCGCAAATTATAGTTCTGAAGTTAAGGATAGTTTTTCAAGCTAAAGTTTTGTTTACACATCTGATGATATAACTGATAAGGAAAACAAAAAATAATAGTCTCAAGTAAGAATGGTTTATGAGGTAAACGAGTACTGTAAAGTTGTAAACAGATCAAATTATTTATCTTCCATTATGTCATCATTGCAACAATCCATATTAACGAGTTACAATTGTTTAATAGGATAATTTGTTTAAATGATTCAATAGTTTTTATTTGGATTCTCAAAATTTCAGCTATCATGTTGTGGTTACTTTAATGGTGAAGATTTTGAAAGATCACGATTTGTTCGTAGTGATACTTATCAGAATATGAAATATCAGGGTAAATTAACTAAATTATTTCGATTATTTTGTTTTCTTATTTAAAAATAGTTCATTTTACAATTTGACTAACATTAGTCAGATAACTGTGAGAGTTCAAGAAGTTTTGGGCAGTTGTACCCGGGTAAAAAGTTACATGATAAAACAAAATCAGTTTTAAGTGCTATCTGATTTGTAATGGCTACCTATATAAATTTGAATAGTGTAATAATAATAAGAAAATTCTCTAAGCAAAGATGGATAGTGGCTAGCGGTGAAATACAGGACGCGAGTTTCGTCCCATTTGGGACTCGTCAGCTGGATGTAATTGAAATGGGGTGACGCTCAAATTCACTTGGTATTGTTTTACATGGATGTTCCCATTGATGATTAGAACTGTAATTGATCAGTCTCTTGTTGGAATATGTGCAAACTGTGCGCATTGCCTCTATATTGCCTTCAGTTACAAGCATTCTAAGCAAATATGGATAGTGGCTAGCTGTGGAATCCAGTTTGACTCGCGTTCCATCCTATCCGGGACTCGTCAGCTCGATGTACCTGCATCTCAGAGCTGATGTTCACTCTGGGACTCGAACCCAGTACTGTTCGCTTCAAAAGCCATAGCGTTATCCACCTAGCTATATTAGCTCAATACATTTAAAATAATCTGATCACATATATACTTGTTAAAATATTTAGATATAACAGTATTCAAAAGCAGTTTGTTCTCAACTTAAACCTACCCTGGTAATATTAGTTAATTATCCAGCATGGTTTCACATTATTTTTCATATTATTTTTCCCTATTAACCTCGTTTCCTTTTACCTTTCATTTGTCTAGTTGATCTCTTATTTTTATATCTAAATGTTGTTTTAACAAGTATAAGTGTGATCAGATTGTTTGAAATGTATTGCGCTAATATATCACATAGTTCTGATAATCTTCTTCATAGTATTACACTATCGAAATTTATTAAACGGACTAATTGCTCTAAATACCTAAATGAAGTTAGTGATACAAACTATGAAACTGAACTTATGCTAAGAGACGAGAAAATATTATTAAGTCTATGACGTATACCATATCTTGAGTAATACATTCGTTGGGTATCTTGAATATAGATAGGTATCATTACCAAAGTTCGACTAGATAATAACGAATAAATTCAGCATTGAGTAGATTATTATAAGTAAGAATAATACATTTGTAATATCACAAAGAGTACAAAAATGAGATTTTCTGACGTTTCGTGACTCCGTATAAGTCACTTCTTCAGGGAATAAATATACTAACTAGGTCAAATTCAATCCGAGTTTAAACAGTACAAAGGAACAACAACACCGTGCACACATACACACACATAAATCTACATACATGTCGTTTATGAATCACCTTGACCGAAATAACATGACATTGACTTATTCAGACCTGTTTTTTGAATGATCGCACATAATATCCTTACGTTGTTTCTTTGTACTATTTAAACTCGGATTAAATTTAATCTGGTTAATATATTTATTCTCTGAAGAAGTGGCTTACACTGAGTGACGAAACGTCAGGAAATCTAATTTTCCTACTTATTCGGATATTACAAATATATTAGTTTTCTTTGTAGACAGATTGATAGTTTTTACCTTTAACATTTGTAAACTATAAGGGTAAATAAAATTTTGTAACAATGAAATATGCTTACTGAGTATTTATACATTTAATATTAAAACAATTAAATTTTAAACCATTGCTTAAAATATGAAAAACTTCGTATCTAAGAGACTGAATTTAAATCAACTCATCGTTTCTTCTGATGATCATCTGGTTCATCGTTTAAAGGAAATAAGTGAAACAATTCACTACTACACCTTTATTAATTTTGTTTAGAGTGAAGATATAAGTTATTTAGTGACTAATTTGTTCAAATTGCTCCATTTGAAGTTATTGATAGGTATATGGTGTTGTTTTTATTAAACTCCAGTTGAAAAAAAACTAGAGTATTGAGCCTATTAATGTATGTGTTAATAAGAAAAAAGTAGTGGAATTCACAAGTCAATCTAAGCTAGACCAATATTGTAAACTTGGAAGCACTACAATCTCCGGAAATCCCCAAAATCGATATAAAAAGACAAAGTTGGCTTGTATCTTAAAACGTTAATCAAAAGCAGAACGGAAGACATCTAAACGTAATAATTAATGAAGTTCCATAATGATTAGTAGTGAAACCCAAGAATCATGTTTCGTTCTATCTAAGACTCATTAGCTAGATGCATCTTCGTCCTTTAGTGAACGAGAAGACAGGCGAGGACAACCGAATGTATTCGACACTAAATTACAGAACATCTCAAAAAAATCTGAGAACCATATAGTGAATCGTTAATTTGCAAAGTATAAGTCTATCGTCTCAAACTTCACTGTTCCTTTGCAAATATCAGTCTATTGTCTCAGATTTCATTGCTCATGCATTTTCATACCAATTGCGTTCCGTTTTCGTTCTTTACTTATCGATTTTCTGCTGAGATACATTATATTTCTGACCACCGTTATATACTACTTATGTGGATATAAGTAGCTCACACAAACAATTCCACTGTTAATGTTCAAATTGAGATTCAAACGGATTGTTCACTAAGTTACTGTATCTAAATAACCGCTAAACTCGTTAAATTTCTTGTATTTTCATGATACTAACGTTAAAACTGTGATCGATCAGTACTTATTATAATTAATTAATTAGTTTCTATGTTATTGATTGCACAAATGTTGATCAATTACTTGAATAGTCTATATTTATTTCATTATTAATGTAGACATTCATTATCCAATCACATGTTGTCAATTGGATTCGAAATTCTCTTTGAGATATTCTTCATGTCCAAATTACTTTACTGAATCAAATAGCTTTATTCAAATTGGCTGTTGGAATAAATTAAATGATTTAATTCTACTTATTCGACATGCTATGATATTAGTTATAGTTGGTAAAATTGGAATATTGGTAAGTAATAATAAAATAATTCAAATGACTCTTTTTGTAATCAAATGTGCAACTGACATATGGTTACACAAGACTATGGATCGTTTAAAGCTATAAATTAACACCGTTTAATACTGGCTTAATAGTCTAGAGATTAAAAGTTCGCATGCAAGACCGATGGTCTTGGGTCCAAGTCCCGCGTACAAGATCGTGGATGCGCACTGCTGAGGAGACCCATATTAGAACGAACTGGCCGGCTAATGCTTATGGGTTTCCAATGATGGTCTAGCTTAAATTATATGTTGAATTCAACTATTGGGAATTACTACAATCTCCACAAACCCTTATTCTAATAATAACTGTCATACTGTTTATAGTCTAAATTACAATGTAGTCATATTATAAGATAAAAATGTCATTTAGGTGCATTAAAAAGTCCACGAATTAGTATTTGTTATAATATCACTGTAAATATAAAAAAGTTAATTGTTCTATTCTATTATTCTGGAATGAATTAGTTCATGAGATTGAAAATTTGTTTACTTATAAGACAGATCTCCCTGCAACTATTTTTAAGTTGGTTACAGTAAAGGAACATTACTTTTATAGAATGTATTCATAATGAATCTACTTTAGTTAGAAAACATTTGTAAATCAAGAAGCATTAGATAGTTGTTTCATTCTAGTGTGAGACTCAAAACCTCCACAGAGACAGAGCATATTACGAGAGCGTAACAATTAGAACCGTTGCATTTATTGTTGGACGGTAAACATTTTCAAATTCAATCAATTAACAATTAAGCACGACGATTATTCAATAATATCAGCGACATATGTTTCAACTGAAATATAACTAAACTTTATCGATCACAACTCCGGGGACTCATCTTAAAGTAAGTCACCAGTAAGCTGATGAGTTGATTTTTAATGACATACGTTTTAGCAACTAAATGGTATCTAAACTTAGATTAGTTTCCGATAGTTGAGATCATAATTCAGTTGAAGCTAGACCACATTGGACAATCTGGAAGCACTGGACGGCAGTTTCATTTTATTGTGAGACTCCTCAGAAGTGTGCATCCACCACCTTGCCTCATGGGATTCGAACCCAGGACCTATCAGTCTCGCGCGCGAACGCTTAACTATTGGACCACTGAGCTGGCCGGCATCCAACGGTGTTAATGCCTAACTTCAATTAATACACGAAATTGAGCGATACATCTACCATCTCACAACAGATCCAGTTGAACTCCACTGGTCACTGCTTTTCACTAAAGCTCCAGGATATACCTCTTGAAGTCAGTCACTAGTGAGCATATATATTTGGTGCTCTCCTGTTCTAATATTTATGTGTTCATATAAATAAATAAATAAATATGTCGATTAGTATCAGAAGGGGTTTTGTGGTGATTGTAGTAATTTCAATAGTTAAGATCATGAGTCAATCAAAGCTAGACCATATTGGAAAACCTGGAAGAACTGGACGACCGTTTTGTCGACTCCGTGGCAGTGCGCATCTACAACCCCACCTCGCGAGATTCGAGCCCAGGACCTACTGGTCTGGCTTGCGAGCATTTAACCACTAGATTAGTTTATAAAGAATGCTTTTTACTAATCGAAATAAAAGAATTTAAAATTAATCGTTGATTGTTCTTCCTCTTTTTTATTTTTTTTTCAAAGTTTCTTCTCTCGGGATTTTCATCGTTAGAAATAATTCCACGTAAAACAACTTTTATCTATCCATAAAGTATTTTGAATAAATACAGATTAGAAAATCAGTTTAATTATATACATAGATTGACATTAGATTTATTGTACTTATGTATCATTGATGTTGTACAATAAATAACAAACTTATGACATAATTATGTTATATTTTAAACAATTGAAGTTAATCGTTTTATTGTTAAAACTATAGAGTTTGCATTTTGAATAATAAAAACATACTTATTGAACATGTTGTTAATTGAATTCAAAGAACAGATACATTTCTGTGAACTATATTTACGAATGAAATATGTATTCGTTAATCATTGATTTTAGATTGAGATCATGAATTGATTGATGTGAGATCACTATTGAAAACTTGGAAGCATTGGACGACCGTTTCGTTCTATTTTGGAACTCCTCAACAGTGAATATCCACGATCCCGCTTGCGGGATTCAATCTGACGAGTGAACGCTTGACCTCTAGACCAATGAGTCGGCATCCAGTGGTGTTAATGTTTAACTTCAACCAATCCAAGAAATTGCGCGACCATCTTCTATTGTACTGAGGTAGATACCTGTCTCTACCCGACATGGATTAGCTCCACTGGTCACGTCTTCTCACTAGAACTCCGATAATTCCCTCATGAATCTAGTCACTAGTGAACGCATGGTTTTATTTTCAATCCTGAGTAATATCATTTAATTTGATTTTGCAGTATGATCGCTTTCGGATAAGATGAAGTGAAAAATGAAGATCCATTGTGTTTTGCGTTAAATCATTAATATCATTTTATAGTACATCATAGTTCATGTATTCACACTTGTTAGTATCTATTGATGAGCTGTATGTGTAATTTCATGTAAAGAATACGTGTTTGGATTTTCAAGTGCAATTAAGAACGTTATTTACAAAAAGACAACGAAAGTATACATTTGAAAGATTAAAATACGTTATGAGTAGTAAAATAAAATGAAATTTTAAACAAGGATAGTAAGTTTAAATACCCATAGAATGCTTCACTTAAGTAAGTTATTCTTTTCACAAAACAATGATTAACGTGAACAAGCAAAGATACACATAGTTTGGAGTGAGACCTTTTGAGGCTACTACTAATGAACATTCAACGTTACTTACGTACGCCAGTTACTCCTAATGGAGCATAGGCTGCCAACCAGCATTCTCCAACCCTCTCTGTCCTGTGCCTTCTTTTCTAGTTCCATCCATTTCTTGTTCATTTTTCTTATGTCTATCTCTATTTCCCGGCGTAATGTGTTATTTGGTCTTTCTCTTTTCCTTTGGCCTTGAGGATTCCATGTGGGGGCTTGTCTTGTGACGCAGTTGGGTACTTTACTTACTGTGTGCCCTATCCACTTCCAGCGCTTATTCCTGATTTCTTCCTCCGCCTTGAGTCCCTCTGGGGGCTACTGCCGGTCCCAAGCCCGGATAAAACAGGAGGGTTGGGCATAGGGTTAGCGACCCTATCCCGTAGAAGACTAACTCGCTAAAAAACGATAACGCTAAAAAACATTCAATGTAGCATGACTGAAATTCAACAAACTAAAACTAATAAACCATAGTTGTTCAGCTTTAATTTTGCTGAACCAGAAATAATATTTACAGGTTGTTTAGATTAATGAAAAGTGTTTTAAATACTTGTATACATAGTTAGGGGTTATATACTCAAACTCAACTGAAAATCTTACGTCAATAGCTTAATGTATGTTCACAGTACATGGTGAAGTATTCAAGCTTTCTTCATAAAGGTTTTGTTATTAGATAACTTAACCGCTTTTAAAATACTCTGCTTCTAGTAGCTGCGGTAAAGAACATTTTCAATAAATTAACTCCTGAAAGCATTAGGATAACTTACAGCTGAGTTAGTTATATCGTTTCATGGTCGTAATTCAACATATTCTATCAAATATACAGTAAATTAGATTGTGATAACAGGTTTAGTGGTTAGTTTTTTACTCCTTTATGTGTAAAGCACTTATGATATTGACGTTGTTTATGACAACCGCTCACGAATCCCACAACGATTCAATAGGAATCATAGTATTCTACGATAAACATGCCTATACAAATGTAGCAGAAAAGTAAAAAAAAATGCTAACTTATACTAAAAACCTGTTCAAATACAACAGCTGAAGTTAACGTACTGAAGAAAATCGATGTTCGCCAGTTACAGAGTGTAGATCGCTTAACCGTCCCTAAAGTTTTTGGCTTCAATACATAAGGATCAAATTCTAACCTTCCTAATGTCGTCTCTCCAGAGTGTATTACAGGTTTAATAGTAATATTTTAAATGACGTTTAAAGTGAATATTGATGGTAAATTGAGGCTAAATATGAGAAAGCAAATGAGCGAAGATTTGTATTCGTTATCATTCATCGGCAACGTGGAAGAAAAGTAAATATGTATTTTCTGTTATCTTTGTGATATCGGTTGATGTCAATCAAGTGTCATTCTGAAAAATGATGAAAAATTGTTCTAAGTTAGGAATTTTATGAGGACACTCCAAAAAAGTTCACAAGCCCAGGACAAATTACTTGTCAGTTGACTATCGACTTTCCCATAGAATCATCAACGAGTGGAATTCATTACCTCAGCACGTGGTTGAGGCTCCGTTGACTCCTTCAAAATAAAGTTGGATCAGCTGACAGACCACCATTGCCAGGACTAACACAGTCCATCAAGCCTCCTGTCCTTTCCAAACTGAAACTGAAACAATTTATAATTATGTCGTTTAATTGCTACCTGACTTTAAGATACGACTTTCACAGAAGGGACACCTCAAATATAGGTTGATGAGGATGGTTTGAACCTGTTCTACGGATTGTGTTTCTAAACGTTTGGTGACTTACTGTATATTTAAACTACGCGGTATAAATTCCAGTCTGTTTGTTTTTACAATGAATTACTTAGCTATTCAAATACATTTTCATCAATATCATGAACCGAACTAACTTGGACAAATATTGAAAACCTGAAAAAATTGAACTGCCGTTTCACCTTAGAATGGGACACATCCTTGTCTCCACAACCGGGAACAAACTCATAATATTGCGCGCAAGATATTAACCTCTAGACTACTGAAAAAACATCCAATGGTATACATGTCTAACTTCACCCAATCCTTGGCATTGTTTGACGGTCTTCTACTCAATTTTATGAAAATATCTTCCATACTTATCACTCATCTCTCAATCTTCATTGATGAAAACCTTTCTGATAGTGTAATGTAAAGCATGTAAACTGTATTTTACAAAAATGATCAGTATATTTATTTCTAGGTCGTCAGCAGATGAAAATCTGCTACGATTATTATTATTATTATTGTTTCACAACTTATTACCATACACTCTACGATAAACCTAAAATGATATTTGTTAGTGTATTTCTGTGACGAATGTGTCTTTAATTTATTTCAAAAGCATGAGAGATGATTTCTTGACTATTTACAGTCTTTTAAATAGACTGGTATTGTACTTTGTTACTTTGCACATGTTAGTGAATTGTGTTAGTGTTTGTTGTTTTTCAAAGTATAGAAAACCAGTGTTTTTTTTACAATGACTAATGAAGTCCCGGTTATCAACAATACGACGACGACTACATGGTGATAACTAACTAATCAATCAAAATAGCCAAATTCAATCTGTTGATATACCTCCCTTGTCAAATAAATATCGAGACAGAAATATTAAAATCGCTTGTGAAAGTAAAGAGAAGCTTTCTAGTAACTTATAGAAACTGGCTATCTCCTCTGTTGGTGAGACTATCAAACATCTTCAGCTCCTTCAGCTTTGCAGTTACAGATTTACTATCCGAATAATTTTCTGATGGTTGAGTTTAACAGAAATGTCGATGAATAAGATTTTAGTACGACGTTCTTAATTGGAGAAATCAAATGTAACGACAAAACAACTGAAGATGTTGATAATTTCAAAATAATTGAGACAATGAACTGATCAATTCTAGAAACCCATTAAAAAACTGGAAGCACTAGATGTCTGTTCTGTCCTAGTGTAGGGCTTTTGAACAGTGCGCATCCACGATCCTGCATGCACAATTCCAACCCAGGACATTAGGTCTCGCGCGTGAACGCTTAATCCCTAGTTCGCTGAACCGAGATCCGACAGTGTTGATGTCTACTTCAACCAACCTACTATGTCGCGTGGCTATCTTCCATTGTCTTCGGTGTGTAGCTGCCTCACACTCGATACAGGTGAACCCTACTGGTCATGGCCTTTCATTATAACTCCAAGAATTACCTCTCGAGACTAGACATTTGCGATAATTTTAAAATATTATAAAAAGATATATGGATACTTTTATGTACTATGTATAAATGTGTAAATATCGTAGATTTAAACAATTCCATGAAAGATTTTGGTTGTTCACTTGAAATAATACATGCTTGTTGCTACTTTTTTCATAAATTCTTCATATATATGAATTATCTAGTAACTTTATTATAATGTGGTTGCAGGTAACCTAAGTGAAACTGTCTACTTAGGCTTTGTGAAAGTTAAAACTCCCTAGCAAGCTTTATCTGCAATCTTGAAGAAACTGTTGCTGTTTATCGGTACGTGATATCTAGTCACTTACACCACTAATGCATATCACACTTGATTGATTAAATTCAATCGGTACTAAGAAGTAGACGAATATCACATTGGGAATCATTTAGTGACCAGTCAATGAAGGTAACATTGTTCTCTGAAACAGTCTACACAACTATAAAGTATTATATTACCTGATTACTTATAGAGTTATTTTAACTATCAGTGTACTATTACAGCAGGAAACAATATTAGTTTTTGCCATTAAATGAATGAACACTACCTGTCTATAGATAAGGATATGCCCTCAGTCTGATGAGAATTACAGGATGACTTAAGGGTTTTCAGATTTTTATATTGTTTATGAGAGAAACATAAAATGAAGGGTTGAATGAACAACTAACCTTCCAGGTAACTTATACAAGTATGAGGCTCATGATTGTGTTATTTATTTTCCTACCCCAATAACTCACAACATTCAAGTGCTGTTTTAAGAGAATCAAGTTGTGTAGTAATCACACTTATTTAGGTTTCGAGAATGATAACAAGATCCCAGATTTAAGTCTCAGTTGCTATGCCATAAATACGCACTGATGCGGAGTCCCATACCAGGACAAAACAACAACCCAGTACGTTCAAGTTCTTAATCATTGTTTGATTTAGATAGGCTAGATAGGTTAGATAGGCCACTAACCTATATGAATAAACGACGACTATTTCGAAGAAAATTTCGGGAAACTGAAGACTAGAAATTTCAAACTGCTTCTTCAAAATACGAAAAAAATAGACCAAACAAACACGGCAGTCATGGTTTATTGTAATAATCCATTATTCAACAAAGATAGTTGTAAAATGATTGGTTGCTATGACGTTTGACACCATTCGAAACACATAATTGACTGGATAATATTTTCTGTAAACCTAAAGTTTAAACAGAAGTGACCTCATTTGTCATAAAAAGAAAGGATCTGTCTACAAATAGGTTAGAATAAAATGAACTGATAAAGAAACGTAGGAAAAGAATTTCACAGATACGCATACATACACATAAGTATTTAAGCACAACTATGTTATGAGTAGTACCAGTATTTTCATATTTATATTTATTGCATCCATTTTATTACTATATCACCCTTTCTAGTCATAGTGACCTCATTCAGATAAAAAAGAACGAAATATTATTCGTTTACTTTTGAGTTAAAAAAAAGGACACTAGATTTTTAATGACATCATTTTTAGCTCTGTGCTGTTAACCATCACTGTTCATTACTTTAACACAAAGTGAAGACGTGAGGTGCATATTTGACAGCCCAACATTGTAAGTTCCCATTTCTTAACTTGTTTTTTCCACTTTTCGGTTAACTTATCAGTTTATCAGATTAATAGCTTACCAACAATATGTAAGAACTTCCATCCAAACTGATGTTTGTGGCTTTGACACTGAGTTGTACTATAAATGCTCTGTTTCAATGTGCTCCGACACGAAATGAGCTAGAATTTGATCGTTGCTTAGTTCAACTCAGAATTTGTCAATCAGACAAATATCATTTGTCTGGTACAATCAGTATGAACCGGTTCAATGGTAACCACAATTCAAATTTATCGATACTATCCGATCAGCATGTAAGATAGGACAAACAGAACAAGAATTACAACTCAGTGATCAGTCAGTGTGAATACCTCAGTCATAGAGGTGATCGATTTTGCCCCAAATACTTTAGCCGTAACATCGCTTGAGGTGATGCTAAATAATTTGTATTCGAATCCCACGTTCAGCATTAGTTTCATGAAGATTTCATACCTTTTTCGATGGAAAGTGTTTTCGAGAATGAAATTAAAGTTCAAGATGACTACCTGATTACTTCCAATGGTTTAAGAAATTAGAATACTCTTACTAAATACTTGTCTTTCGGATTTACATATTGTTAACTATTTAAATCAATTGAAATGTACCCAGCCTTTGAGTTGAATGATGCATATCACAAACAACTTGCTTACAAAGTAGAAGACAGATTTCGTGCCTTCATTGAGGATTCCAAATAAGTGAAATTCCTGAGTCGATAGTAAATTTCATCTGATGTGAACGTGCATTAAAATCATACATACAAAAATATTACGTTTATTGCTTATAAGGTATTTGGATTATATGATGACCAAATAGGTGTGAGTCAGTTACCCACCAAGACAATGGAAAATGGTCGCGTAATATCGTAGATTGGTTGGAGTTAGACATTAACAGCATCACATCCCGATTCAGTGATCTAGAGGTTGTGTTCGTATGAGACCTAAGGTCCTAGATTGGAAACCTGCGTGACGGATAGTGGATGCGCATTGTCCATGAGCCCTATACTAGGACGAAACGGACGTTCACCACTTCCAGGTTTCCAATGGTTGTTTAACATTGACAGGTTAATGACCTTAATAATGACTCAACAAACAATAAGATTTATTCATGTAAGCTGGAGTTCATTCATCTTCCTAATGATTTGCTGATAGTTAACAAGTGCTTTATATATAGTGCCTTGAAAATATCCACTCATTTCTCACCTTTTATCTTCGTTGATATCATCTTTCTCAGTGTTCACAAACGAAAAGACAAGATTCAACTACACTAAACTATGGCTGTATGTGGTTGTGTTTTAACTATAATTAATAGCATATTTCTGGTAAGTGGTTCTTTGATATTTTTCAGCGAAATTTGACATATCAACTCACATATTTCATAAAATTAATTAGCCTGTTCTTTGTGATAGTTAAATAATAAATTGATGGAGGTTTTCTCAAATCACAAATCCAACAAGTGTCCTAGATTCGTAATTATTCGTGTTTTACTTCACAAACAATCTCCTATATAATTACACTCTTTGTCACGTTGGTGTTTCTCTTTACACTTAAGTGTTCTTCGTAGATTTTTTCTCTGATATTTCCAAATAGAAGCAGATCTTGTTTTATTTATTACAAAGAGCTTAACTCACATGTCTTCAATTGATATTAATAGTCTACTTGTGTGGTTAGTACTTTTTGATGATGTTGAGTATTAGATAATGTGATAACAAATGGGCAACTCTGAGTTGCAGGCACACCCAGCTGACGAATCCCAAATAGGACGAAACGCGCGTATTGCATTTCACCGCTAACCACTATCCGTTTTTGCTTATAATGCTTGTAAATTAAGGCAATGTCGAGGCAATACGCACAATATGAATATATGTCAATAAGAGACTGATCAATTGCAGTGCTAAACATCAATGGGAACATTCAAATAAAGCAATACCAAGTGAATTTAATGTCTATAATTTTCTTACGTTTTGGAAACTGAACTTCTAACGGGAGGATGTACTATTCCTAAATAGTTCCAATTTAAATGTGCCTCAACTTCAATTATCATAAACACTCGATATTCTAGAGAGGAATACCGTTAATTTAAACAAAATTATTTTTGTCGTTTGGTACTTTGTTATATTGTGACGCGCGCGTTAGAGAGGACAGTGAGGGCAGAGAATTATCGATCGGACCAAAGACGCGTAAAACACGTAAGAACAGCCTAGAGTTCTGATTGGTCGTGCTTCCCTGTCTAGCCCAGCTAGTTGAGTCCAGAACACAAGTCTCAGCTTCTGTGATATGAATCTTTATATTTCAAACATACCCTGTTTATATACCAAACAAACAGACTACATCGTACCATAAAATAGAAAGTAACATTTGTACAAGATTTGACCTCCAGGAAATGACACAAACAAATATTGACCAACAGGAAAATGACACGTTGGAAGAATATTGACCAATGGGGAAAAGATACCATTTCTCATCCATGAATAGCATTAGATAATTTCTGGGGTATTTTCTGAATATCCCAACATACTTAGTGCAATGCACTGAATTTCGATCATACGTTTTAATGATCGGTATGACTATAATAATATCCATCATACAGATAGCTGAAAAAATCTAAAATCTAAAACTGAAATGAAGCTCATTGAAGTCATATACTCACTGGTCAGCAACTTTATCTCAGTTAAATTTGTCATGGAATTAATCTGAGGGAATAAACATGAACAAAGACTACCGAAAATTAGCCACTTGATTAGCTTATATGAACGATAATTATGACGAATGTTGATAGAAGATCTGAGCCAAGTTAGAATTCGAAGCATCTTTTCTCAGATTACAGACTGGAAGACTCACTGATTGATTGTCTACGTTCCTAATAATTTTCGGATCAACTAAACTTCATTTATGATAGACTGCTGCTCGATTAACTACTTATATCTTTTTAACGGGTATCGCAAAGATTCCCTTATAAATATATGATCAGATTGTTCGAATTTTATTGTGGCAGAACATTACATTGTTTCAAATATGCATTGTTATCTAAATTAAACAAATTAAATTCCCAGAGAATACTAGTCGTTTCAGACTTCATTTCAAATATGAACATATCCTTTACATATGCATCACTCACTTCAAAATAGCAACTACATTTCGCAATACTTGGAGTACGTAATGCTTAACATCTCCCAATACCCTCGAATAGTGATAATACCTCTCTTTGATTTCTGTCTAAGTCATCTATGGAAATCTTTAGTTGTCAGACTGTTTAGTTATCTTATACGATAATGGGTGATGATGATCCCAAAAATTATTCAATGATTAGTCAGTGACTGTCTCAGATCTACATCATCGTTGCACTGTTTACGGGCCTTAGTCAAACAATTTTTTTAAAACACAGCTCCCAATTAACGTAGCCTTTATAAAAAATTATTCAATTTTTTCACCAAAAACATTGAAAGTTCAATTCGTGGACTGCTTAGCCGAAATATTTACACTAATCGTCATATTAAATGCATGTTACAGAGTATTCATCGATAACAAACCACATAAAACTTAAGGAATAGTGATTGAATACACAACGTTCAGGATTATATTTATCGATAATATCAATAAGTTAATCTGACATTATACAACTGAAATAAAATGTGACACTTTTCAATAACTCATATTCACTTCTATATTATGTAATATAAACCCAATTTGGGTAAAAACATATGCCATTCTACATTATTGTTTCTACTATTACATTTATAACCATACATATATACATAAAGATATTCACTATCAAGAAAGTAACACGGTTCCCTTTTATACTTTGGATAGACAATATCAATCGCTATCGTTATTGCTGGTGGAATATTTGCATGGAGTTCAACAACAGTTACAGATATTTTAAACAGTACATTAGTGTCTTATATTAAAACAACATTTTCGGGTAAAATGTCCGTGGATGCGACTACATTAGTGAATAATATTATTAGCATTGTTCGTAAGTTTAAGCTTCATCAGTTATTTATTGTTATTGAATTGTATATTTGTGAATAGTTTAAAAATAATAAGTTACAAACAAATATAATTGATAAATATGAATGGGAGATTAATTTTCACAGTTGACTATTCTCAATCAGTTAGTACCAGTCGAATTGTGATTAGTGATGATCAACACTTGACTGAATTTACTCTAATCATTTGCGATGACAGTGATCTATTGGAGTGATTATCAATGAATACAACAGCTTACTACTAATTGTTTCATGAATGTGAGGTATAGTTAGATAAATATTCAAAACATTTAATATGAAGTTCAAAATGAAGGGGAATTCGTTGATAAAGCTGTCAACTATGAAATACTGAGGTGTCTTTATTTACGTAATACTCTAATCTACCAGTATGAAGGTGGGTGGGCTTTCTACTCTGAAGAGACTCATAGACAAGTTTTTTTCTAAAAAAAAATAACTAATAGATCGATGATATACGGTTATAACTAAATTTGACTCATAGCCATTCATCAAAATGAAGTCGAAAATTAGAATCTTGAGGGCTCATAATGTAATTAGTCTACCATCCAGTTTTTGGTAATTAACAAATAATTGTTCAATATTACATTAAACAGACTTAAGTAAACTTAAATTAAGTTAGGAACCATTACATCTGGTGGAGTAATGGCAATTTTGTTGTCCTTTAGTATAACTTCTCGACAGTGCACACTTACAACCCTCCTACAAGTTGAATCCACAAAGTTTGGATTTCATGATGATCAGATGATCGACATTTTTAAATCTTATCAATTTGTAATAGAACTTGGCAATCGTTTGTCAATGTCTGTTGATTTAAATATTTGTTCTCATCATCATGAATAGTAGTAATGTTTGAAAGTGAACTATTCATTATTGACCCTATTTTTACCTTATCACTTTGATTTTCTAATATTCTGTCAATATAGAACCGATTGGCTTGGTTATCTTCATCATCGGGATGATACTGATGGCAATCTGTTGGTTGGGTATATTTGGTGTGTGTTGTAGATCAAAAGTTTGTCTTGGATTAGTAAGTGGTGGTGATACTTTTATTGAGTAGTTTGAATAAATACACATTTGAGTTGTTCTAGTAGTGTAAATACACAGAAACTAGATGATGAAATTGCTAGAAAGAATTAGGCGGCTTAATTTGTAGTTCGTTCTCGAACCGCCTCTAACTTAACCCACAGGTTTACGGAAGACGAAACGACTGGTCAACTAACAACATATATGTGCACATATGCAAACAAAAGAATGATGATAATCCATTTCTTAGTATCAACAATGAGATAATTCGAATCTTAATACTATTGACACACACGAATTGCAAAGTCAGACGATTATCCGGTCTCAGTGGTTCGATGGACAACACAAATGTTATTTGAAGTGAAACTACTGGGTTCAAGTCTCAGTCAAACAATAGTGGCCATCACCCTCTTCAAGGCTGGTTGGATCAGTCTTCAGAAAAATAAACTATGACTAAATCCGACCGTAGAACATAATTGTATCTCAGAGCTAAGGTACATCCATTAGATTCTGAATAGAAAACTAAGGAAGAGCATTCTAACCATCGAAATTGGAAAACATTGTAAATCAGCTGAAGTAATACTCACAAAAACTAATATCATACTTATTATTTGGAATTTTAGTTAGTGTAATCTACCGTGATAATCCAAACAGGCTTAAATGAATAATAAAATTAGGTCAATCAGTAATACCGATCAGTAAAGATTGAAAATGTCACATAATGGCATCTAGCTAGAAACTATTAATTTATGATGCGAATATAGTATGCAAATATATTATCAGTCAGCAACAACGTAAAACGTCGTACGTAAGTCAGTTCAAGTTGCCGTACTACATTAGCATAGAGATATTGTCCATTCATAACATAACATAATTTCATCACGAACATGGTCTAGGAAGTTCCACAACTTTATATATATTCAAAACTTAACAGAAATAACTACAAATCAACTGTCTTATTTGTAATGAAAATTGACGATTTCAATCGCAATGGACATTTCGTTGTCCTAGTGTATAACTTCTCAACAGTGCACACTCACGACTCTCCTATAACTCGTGACAAATGACTGATAGGTCCTAGGTTCAAATCCTGCGAGGCGGGGCTTGAATGCGCAGTCCTGAGGAGCTACACAATAGGGCGAAACGGCCGTCCAATACTTCCAGGTTTTTCATAGTGGTCTAGCTTCAATTGACTCATGATCTAAACTATTGAAATTTCAATAGTATTGTCTTTGTTTGTTCTTTTCATTGTTTCACCATTCATTTGAAACAAACTATGATTACAACAATTTGAAGTATCTTGCCGTTGTGGTAGCAATTACTATAGCTGTGGTTGCATTAATTATTGTATACAAAGTAAAACCTACATTGGTAAGTTGATTCATTTACAATTTGTTTGCATTTTATCAATTCTAATCAAATTATTTAAAATAGAAACTCGTCTAATATGCTGTTTAGTTCACAAGTACATCATGGTTGACAATAAGTCATACATAAAATCAAAGTCTATATTATATTTGGTCATTCTATTCTGCAAATATTATAACTCAAGGGTCATTTACCGAACATGCTGACTAATTGTTTCAGGCAATAATAATAGTAATAATAATTTTATCATTATTATTATTATTATCATTATTATTATTATTAACTCGTTCACAGCCTACAGAATCTTGTGCTTGACCTCTAGAAAATCCCTGAGTATGGATGCTAAAAATTCCATTTGACTGCTGAAACCGAATCAGATGAAGTAGGATGTGAACCTGAGACTTAGTTGCATAAGGCTAATCACCTTAACCACTGGATCGTAATTCCATAGAATATAATCTCACTGTAACTTTTTAGTACAAAACATTTAACTGAGCGATTAATCATTAGATCAACCTGTATCCTTATCAGACACACTCATAAAATTTTGATAATATAGCAAAGAAAATGTTCAGTATGAAATTGTCACGAAAACATTTTCTGATGAGACTATAAATTACGTATGAAACAACAAAATCAAAGATAGTAGGTTTTGAATGCCTACATTAAATTCATCCATCCATTTGATTAAATCACATCTAGTGGTTGTAGCTGATGTCAATGCTTGGTGAAAACCTCAACTGAAAATACGAAATCAAACCTCTAACTCATATACTTAAATCTGGTTCCTCACACACCTCTCTTTAGACCCAATTAGGTAGGCAAATTTTCTGAAGGTCGATTTTGCGTCGCTGATAGATGGTCTATTAATTATCGTCTCACCCATTTTCCTAATCATAAATAGTAGAGAGTGAAATATTTCGTGAACGTCATTAAATCTTGGGTTGCAACTACTGTTGTAGTAAAAAACTAACTAATGATATGATTGAGAATACTTAATGTATATAAGTTTAGTGAAATTTCGATGAACTACTGTGAAATAATTAAAGTAGTTACATTTCTCCAATGACTAAATTTAACAAGGTTTCGTTTGCAATATGCTGGAAATGGTAATTTACATCTGTATTTAGTTGTGTATCTGCTTTTTTCTTTTTCAAGGTCACCTCGGTGCTAGATTCAACAGTTGATTCATGGGCTACCAGTTATGTTTCAATTGTTTCAGGAAATACTAACAGTGTTTTATTTGCATCATTGATGATGCTTGTAAGTTATATAAGTTATATATAAAACACCTCCCAAAAATAATTCGAATGAATCACATGTTTTATTAAACAGAGAAAGACATTCATTGTGTCATCGAGATAGAGTAGTTTCTGTCACGAAACAACATCATTTGAACAAGTGTTTAAGATGATGGTACACTGGTCAATTATTCCAACAAAATTTTTCACTTCTCAACTGTGCGTACAAATGAGCACACGAACATCGGTCTACGTAGTGAAAACGATATATTTAGACCATCAATTTAAATTCAAAATATCTATACTTCCAACATTTATCATTTAATGAAAACGTGATGTTTATTGAATCTCATTGATTATTCATGAGATCAGACCTGTCTTACATCTCTTCTTTATTCATTGCTTCTTAACTAGTATATATCTAATTTTTAAATCTTGTTCAAAACAAATAAAACAGTCTACAGAACTGTTGAATGTGTTCAAATAAAGATCAAACATTATTAAGTAACTTGATTAATCAAGTTAAACAAATAATAATAACAGTTGTTTTGCGATAAACTACTTACCTACACTCACTATATATCACGTATCTATACATCACTAGTGTTAATGGCTTTTTGTTTTTAGATTATGTAATATTCACTTTAAAATATGCTCCATAATTTACACACTGTTATTTGATCTTGGTTTTTCTTTTTGCAAAAAGCTAAAATGTTGTGGATCCACTAGTGTAACCGACATTACCTCATCCAGCAACTTCGCAACATCCGATACATATTCATCACAATCATACACATGTAAGACAATGATTTATACTTAAATATTATAGAATGTTATTGTAGACTTTAAAGCTGTACTGCTGAGCATTGACATTTTAATGGGAAAACTGATAAGCGGTTGTGTTCAGTTATAACAATCACACAAGTAGACTTCCACATTTCAATTGAATTCGAACAAAATTCACCATGGTGAACAATTCATGATTTATATCTGCAATAGTCACGAATTTCATTTCAATAGTTTAAAATATTATCCAGTTAATTCCTGTCAGGTTCACATTCACAATTAACTGTATTTAATATTGATTGATTAGGGACACAATATTAAAGATCATCAAGATGTTCTTAACCGACTTCTTATGAATAGCAATTCTTATTAAACACCAAAGTGTATTGACAATTTAGAAGAAATTATATCGATTCGAAAATCCTTATTACTATCACATAATACCGATTCGGTAAAACAGGTCTTTTGGACCTTATCAAAACCGGATTATATTGTTTTCTGGATTGATGATAGAGTCATTGATTAGTAACAATAATTTCTAATCTCATGAACAGATTACAAGTGGAAAGTTGTTTTAAAAGAGAAATTTGAATATATTCTAGTAAGCTTGAATGTTACTTACTGTTACGCGCGGTTTTAAGTGAAATGAAAGCATGTTCGAGTGTCTTAAAATTCTGTATCATATGGAATCTTGAAATATATACTTTCGATATGTCTCAAGTCGAAACAGAGCATCTTCCTTAACGTTATTGGTTGTTAACAATTCTCTAGATGCTGTCAGATTGCGCTGAATTACAGTCAGTTCTTTGAAATCAAGTACCTTAGATATTTTTGTTTATTCCTCATGAAAAATGGAGGACTTGATGACGGAGGTATTGGTGACACGTGGGACACGGTACTTAGTTTTCCCATTTATTTCGATATCAAAATCAATGAACATTACTGAAACCTTGGTTGGATAATTCATGTATGTATATCCAATCACCTGAAATAATATTATGAGTGATCGAGTGATGATTATTGACTTTATTCCAAATATTGAAACAGTCACATACAAGTGAATCAGTGACTAAAATAACCTCGTTTTCATTTCACTACAACGGTACACATCAATACAAAGAATCGAGCACAAAAACAAACATGATTAGAAGTCACTAAGAAAATAAAATTCATTTAAGGAGATACGTTTTCATAGGTTACGCACTATCCAGTAAATCTGACGTCTTGTTCATCATATCAACTGTATTCTTCTGGGTGTACAATTTGTAAATTACTCCTCCAAACTTCTTTTGTCTAGCTATGGTGCGACCAATTCCATGTTGTAAAGTTGATTCGAATCTTGCCTTGACTGATTCAACTTGTCCAACAACATCGGGTTCTACCCAACAAAATGACGCAACTGGTTGTAAAACGGTTATCCAGTCGTACATTACTACTTCATCTGACGTTATAATGTATGTTTCTTTCGGTGTCTTAGCCTTCTTGGTAAGTTCCGTTCCAACATTTGATCATTTCCTTCTATTTAAGCTCTATTATAATTTGTTCGGCATATTTTCGTTTAGACCTCAGTGTTATAGGTAGTTATGACATGACGTGAAAGGAATTTTATGATGATTGTCCAATGTGGTGGTAGTTTCCATCACAAAATGACAATGGATAGAAAACTATTAAAAATAATAGGAAGGGGGTTTGGAATTCCGTTTCGTCCTGGTTTGAATCTTTTCAGCTGAGGCATATTATTATGCAGTATCGAATTCAAGACATCTTGAACAGTCATCTCCTAATAACATTTGAGATGAAACATCTGTTCAATAGCTTCAAACTTCAATGGTTTTTCGACTTCCTTTAATGCGTAATAAAAAGCAACCTTGAACAATGATGAATGCGCTTATTTTCTAAAAGTAAACTAGTATGTACGAATTCCTCACTTGAAAGCCATTGGTTTCTTGCTGTCTTATACTTAATGTTAGTCAAACCCAATCAATCTGCTTGTAATGTGTGTTCATTGATCTAAGAGTCTCAATATCAGAACGAATTTTGCTTTGATGTTAGCTGGTTAGAATCAATCGACAAGCAGAACAAAATGAAGTGTTCCAGATAAGACGAAATGTAAATCTGGACTCGATTACCGGCCACATTTCATCCATTTTATTAACTGTCATCCACTTTAAAATTAATTTGGAACTTAAACAAACATTTCACACTAGAAGCGACTGACACTTCAAATAGATTACCTGATACATGACTTATATTTTCTTATGGTAACAATTGAGAAGTATTAAATAGTTCAGATTCTGAAGTAACTAAACTACGTGAACTTTTCAAAACCAAAAAATTTACTCAGTTATTATTGTTATGCAAAATAACAAAAATTGTAGTATATTCAAGTCAGAAATAATCAAAGAATTTGTCTGTTATATTAGAACTATAAACAGCAAATAAGCAGTATTGGCGAAGAATGTACTTTCATCACACACACACACAAGAATACATAATGTGAGCATTTGAAATTATGTGATCAACCTAGATTTGTCAGGAATATTGACTCCTCCTCTTAGAAACTAAATCTACCGCTGTCGATTAGATAACTGCTTTATTAATCTAGAGTTCAGACCATATCATCCTCTCACCAAGATGATAACATCACTATTTCGTAGACACATCAACACCATAAGAGTTAATCTTCTTCAGTGTTCCTATCAAAGAGTCATCGGTAATGAAATCGACAAACAAAAATTAGATCGGATAAGTCAACCATACTCAAACGATTGTGTAAAACTGTTCGTAAGCTCTTAACTAATAATCCATGATGTCAGTATGCCTAATAGATCACAAAAACAGGAAGTGATGACGATAGAAATCTCGAAACAACACATAGTTATGAATATGTTCTACACGTAATTGAGAGGGTAGTGTAGAAAACATCCTAATCCATCAACGACAAGTCAACGAAATAACACTAGAATGTTTCAGTGTGAATAGACGAACATTTTTCCACCTATGAAAAATCTTTACTAAAATTTTGTTTTAAATATCTGCTGAAGTTCACATGACGACAAATCGAATAATCAGTTCCAGTGTTTTTCACTCCGAATTATTCAGATTGTTCATTACTAATTCTACTAATATTTCACTGACTGACATTTTGAACAAAATTGTAGTTATTATCTTACCCAATTGAAACGTTCATCTATACAATATCTACTTTGATGTGACGACGGTCGAATTTTCATTCATCACTATTTGCACATAGATAATCAATTATGAGATCACTCAGATACTCTATCGAAATAGTCAACGAGGTGTGGATATCGAGATGTAGCTAGTCTAAATAAACTATACTAAACTCATACCAATTCACTCGAATCGTGAATCACAACGAGTAATCGCACTATCAAATCAATTATTATCTGCTTAAGAAATAAAAAATTAATCGGATTGTGACAAAACATGACAAATATGTGATCATAATGATGACTTTCAATTAATAGAAACTAATAGTCAGAATAGAAATGTACAAAGAACACTCTAAAGCATTCAAACAATTCTTCGAAGTGAATATTATTACAAATAGACGATATTAGTGGTGACGATGTTTGTTAGCTGTCCAAAAGCACAGTTGATATGGAAAACACTATAGTTTTAATCAGTCTCAATACAAAAAAGTGAGAATAATCCTTATCTAACGACGTTTGGCTTTCTATTATATGCTGGTTACAAGCGAATTGATTGTGACCGCCGATCTGAAGAATATCAGGCGGTATACAGGTAAACTAGTTTCCTAAATGACAAACTTTTTCATTTATCAGAAAATTTGTCAATGATTACTCATTCGAATATCCAACATATAATTAATCCTTCAAAGTCGTATGCAACAAAACAATTCGACTAGTCGCATAACTCATTCAGAGAACTCAACACAGTTTTCTAGTTATATCAGTTTAATTAGTAAAACAATTTATCGAATTGTTTATTATATTAATGTCATGATAATCTGATCAGGTAAATCAATCACCAGTTTCTACATGATCTGAACTATTTAGGTCCATTAGTTTTAACATCTGTCAGTGAAAATGACTAACGACTGTAGTCTAAAATTAAGTATCATTTGCTATACGTTCATCAATTAAGTCTTGAAATAATTATGAATAATATCTGACTATACACATTATGCATCAGTATACTAATTTTATCAAGTAAGTGAGTTGATTTGCATAAACTCATTCATGATTAATGAATTGGTTTAGGAATAACATACATCTTGCCCACCTATTTATATCCACTGTTGTTGTTTGTTTTGTTCTTTCCATTTGTACTCACATTCCAGGTAGTGTTGGTTATTCTAGCATCATTTTCAATTGCTCAGTTTTAATTTTACATTGAATAACATCAAACTGAACAGAGAATTCCAATATATTTACAAACATCATTGTTCGTGTATACTATGAGAAAATCTGATTGTGAAAGTTACATTTGATCGGTTCTTTGTTCGTTTGTTTGTTTGTTGGTTTGTTTATTAGTTCACTTCAATTTTTTACCAAATTACCAAACTTAAGAATTGTAATTTGAATCGATTTACCTTTATATATAAATACATTCTACACTAGTGAATAATGAAAGATTATTTTATTGTTTTCAGAGTCATCTTTATGAATATTAAATAATCAAGAAACATGTGATTGGTGAATCTCATTAAAGATACTTTTAATTGTTCCATAAACATTAACTGAAGTTAATTAGATTACAGGTTGTGATGTAATTTTCAATTTAGAACTTATTAATGAGATAGAATTATATCCAAGCTAATATGTGCTTTTCATTGCACATGAACTAATTGTTATAACTTGTGGCCTGTGTGCCCTGTTAATGATAAAGTAATGATACCGCTAATTAGAGAGCAGTGAATTATTGATCGGACCAATGACGCATAAAACTAGTACGAGCAGTCTACAGTCCTTATCATTTCTGCTTCCTGCCTAGCCCAGCCCAGCCCAGCTAGTTATGTCCACAACACTAATCTCAACCTCTGCAATATGAATCATTTATTTCAAGCATACTGGGTTGAAATACCAACCAGACAGACCACATCATACCATAAAATAGGAAATGATATTTGTACAAGATTTAGCCAAATGTGGTTGTGAATGTGGGAGGTAGTAATGAATACACAGATCATAACTCAAGAATAGTAAATCGTAGAATAATAGTTCACAGGTCAAAATAAGGCTCATAATAAAAGGGATATGGATATGAATAGTTTATTTATTTAACAATTATTCGATAAAAATATACGCATATTATTGGTCCATAAATGTATCCTAAAAGTTACTATTCATTATGCTTATCGAGACATAACACTAATATGCTTGTTTATCACATGTAGGATGTTTGGAATATTACCGCAATGTCCAAACGAAAGTAAGCAAAGTCACATTACAACATGAGATTGACTTTGTAAAGTGGTCTACATTATACAGAACTAAATTCATTTTTTTAACAGAAATGCATAGGTGAACGTTGAAGTTATTTAAATCCTACACATGTCATGATTTTCGTGGAAATCCCGGATACAGGAAATTCCAAAAACACCAGAGAATTTTTAGGAGCTTGGCATACGAAAAAAATGAAGAGAAATACCTGAAGGACGTACTTCAAAAGAACGGCTACTCAATCAACATATCATGATGATCAGCAATGATATATCAGTTGTTAGTTGCTTATTATAATATAATAGTTATTAACTAATTTCTTTATCAGATGAATCCAAGTGAAGTCTTACTTGAACTAAGAAGTTTGAAGTTACTGTTATGAATTTCTTCTACTCATGCCCTCTGACTATGAGTTCGAGAACTCAGTTACAGTGTAAGCTTATCCTCGATGGTTTACACAAACATTTAAATTGTTTCACTGGTTGAAATCATGAATCAATTGAAGGTAGACCACCATGAAAAACCTGGAAGTACTGGACGGCCGTTTGGTACTATTATGTTGTGGATCAACCACTGAGAACAATAAAGAAATTATCCCAGTAGCTTATATTATTCTGCATTATTCAGGCTTATAGACTGATGTAATTACGTGCATGAAATAGATCATCACACTTTTTAAATAATGAGTCCGAAAATCTAAAAATTTAAGACATCTGTAGCTTATCAGTTCTTGATGAATAGCTGTAAACGTGTTCATTGTTTGCCACTTCAGAGCTAACAGCTAACGATTACAAGAATTCCTAACTTCCAATGGTTTTCGTTACCTCTACCCATTTCTATCATCTTTATGTGACTTCACAATAGATTCGCTCCCAGAATTCACATTGCTGTCATAGGACATTCCAGAGATGGAGTTAGCTGATCATGGCCAACTCTTCTATATGGAGCAGACGGATGATCCTATTTCGTTGAATCAGAATGAACAGCTCACTGAATGCTTACTTACATCTATGAGTTTGTAGGTATCATTACCAAGGTTTGATTTGATAATTTCCAATAA